TTCCCTATTGAAAACCCCTATGTTGTTGATCTGTACACATTACAATTGAAGGGAAAGGTACATGTCCTATGACAATGTTGCAGGATCCAATCTGGGTCATTCACCGGAACCAGAGGTTTAGTCTTCCAAGCTTTCAGGCTCATGCTAGAGCCCATTGTCAGAGAACTTGTTTCTCACAACTTCTCTCTCACACATTCTGTGAGAAAGATGATCCCTAAGGATGGGCTCAAGCACATGTCTGAAAGCTCAGAAGACTAAACCTCTACACCTGGTGAATGACCCAGATTGGATCCTGCAACATTGTCATAGGACATGTACCTTTCCCTTCAATTGTAATGTGTACAGATCAACAACATAGGGGTTTTCAATAGGGAAGGATTTTCTTGAAATGGTAAAACATCTATTTAAAAAAATCATTATTATGATTATAATAGTGAGATTCTCCACTCCTCTGCAACTGATTTATCAAATCTATGAAATTATCACTGCATAACACATGTACATAAAGGACACAAGCCTATGCTATTCACAAACCAATCTCTTGGATATCTCATGCCACTTATAAAGCCAGATGATTTTGCACGGATTCCCATATTTGAGAAAGTACTTGGAATTGCCCACGTTGATTAAAAAAAAACAACCTTACCTCTGGATCTCCACAATCACAATCTTCTCCTGCTTCCACAAAGCCATTCCCACAAACGGTAGTTGTAACAATATCTGTGCTCAAGGGGTCATTGAGAATGCATTGTGCATCTTGTGCCGTGAGATAATACTGATAATCCCACAGATTGCAAGAGGTGAACTCATGGGGAGGGTCAAAGCTGTAAAAGTGAACCAATGTAAGATTATGACATCCTCCATATTTGGACCAGGAGCAGAATTAATCACAAAAACATATAAGATAGAAAACAATGGCTAATGAACAAAGCAGTGTTTTTCTTTTCTCTAAAGCTAACAAAATAGCTATGAGAACTCTTACTACCAGGTTATGCTCCCTCAGTTTTAATTCCACTAACATTTTTTTCTCTTTTTTTAACACAATGAATTTGCAAAGAGAACTCCATGTGGTGTTAGTTGCTTAAGCTACTTCTTGTGTTTGAGTGGGCTACCTTTTGTTTTTATTTTTAATCAGTTCCACTGTGGAAGGGGAATCTGGAAATGATGCAGTGACGTTGCTGATGTGACAAAGAACTAGGATCAATAATATCATTGAAGGGAAAGCAGTGGAATGTTAACCCTCTTTTTCTTTTTCTTTTTTTGGAGAAGAAAGGCTTGTACTTTTTATAACAAATGAATGTTTTAAGGCAAAAGTGGAATGGATATACTTATTGGACTTCTTTGTTGAAAAGTTCATAATATCAACAACTTGCCACTGACCTCTGAAATTGCATACTTAAAGGGATGCCAACGGTATCATGTTTACCCAAATATTTCCCTAATGCTGATACAAATCACTAGGAATGATTTGATCTTAAACTTAAACACTTGCACAGTAAAGAAAAACTTCTCGCTACTTCGAGAAGTTAATTAACTCATGAGAATTTTTTTTACCGTGCAAGGTAACCCTGCAGTTACCGGCTTAGAGNATGCTTTTGCCTCAGATCTTGCTTTGCTTAGCTATTATCTTCTCATAACCAGTAAAAGTACTCTTAATTCTGCAAAATGGAGTTAAGTGGCTTCTTTCTTGGTTGCTGAGGGAGGCTGGCCTGATAGCACGAGACCACACCCGCTGTGGTCTTTGGAAAAACTGCCCATCATGGAACTGGTCCCAGGAGGCCAAAAGGTTGAGGGACACTGCCATACAGTAGCATCAGTGCTGAATCTTAATAGGAATATGAAATCATAAGTTTTACCCAAGCATCCACTGAACTGGCCATTTCATGTATGCTTTCAGCAGTGTGATAAATGCTTGCAGAGTTTGTCAAATGCAGTCTGTCACTCAGTTACCTCTGCTAAGTACATCATTTTCATTTGTACTTAGCAGTGTTGTACGTGTACTGTTTTATTGTTGTCTGGGCACTTTTTGTAATGTTATGTATGCTGGTACCTGTTATAGTTTTGGTTTTTTTTTTATGTAGCCGTAGCTTAATATAGATGCAATGAAAAATGTCTGTCCAATGACTATCATCCTTTGCTTACTCAATCCCTACACACAGGCGATCTGAAACAGCTTTATGTTCATGCTAAAGAGTTGTGTTACATTTAGACAATTTAGGATCACCTGAAAGCCCATTCTTTCTTGTGTCACCCAATAATTGAGGGAGTAATTGCAATTGAATCAGGGGTAGGTTCTGGCAGGCCCCAATGCCGGTTTGCTCATGTGCGCATGCACAGTGCAATTAAAATTGTTCTCTGCATGCGCAGAACCAAAAAATGAGATGGCGGCACCTATGGTGCTGCCTGGAGAACTGGGGGCGTGGCAGGCCTGGTTCACTGCTGGTTCCAGTGACCCAGGCCGCCAAACCACTACCAGTTCAGCCGAACCAGTCCGAACCGGTAGGAACCCACCACTGAATTGAATGTAGCATACTGAAGGTAAGCAGCTCTTTCTTGCAACTCTCCAGTGTTGCAAACTAGTAAGGAATTTGAATCTAACCATCAGGATTTCTCATTCCTCACCCTTATAGTCAGACAAACTTTAACAAATGGAGTAATCTCTGTCTGATTGCAAATTCAAACAACTGTTACAGTTAGATTGTGTCTGCTGATTGGGTATTAATCTTGCTGAAATAGAGAATTCAAAGGTTGCTGAAAAAAGTTTCAATAAATGAAACAGACCAACTCCAAATCAATTATCATGACATATGTTTTCAATTTGAGGGTCATTTGCCTTAAGAAGAAATTGATTATAAAGAAGCCAAATGTGCATTGTTTAATCAATGCAGTGCAGTGATTTTATTATATATTTCATGTAATTTAAGATTTTTTCTATATTTTTCTTGTTAGACAGTTTCTATATGCAGTTTCTAAAGTTGCAGTGTTCTTTCTGATGACTGACAACAATATTACAACAAAATTAGATTGTAATAGCTTTCTGTGGGAATGAATATATGTTCAAGACTTTGGATCTTGAAAAATTCTGCATGACATTTTGTATGTCACAAAGTCACAGAAATGTGACTTTTCAGTGGAGCAGTTGTTGAGCATATGTTACATATGAAAATGCATTTGCTATGTGTTATGTAACATATTTTGTGATCATCATAATTAGTTATACTGGAGGATGAAGTCTTACAATCTTCCTGCCAGTGGGAAATTCCTACAATTTCCAGCTGGGATTATTAGGAATTAAAGTCCTTGCAGGGAAGAATGAGATAATAATTACTTGGTAGGAAAACTGATGAATGATATAATTGCATTCTTTTCTTTTCCCCTTATTTTCTTTTTTCTTCTCTTTCTATCTTATTGTTCATTTTTATATATTTTTACTATATTGAAAAATTCAGATGAATAAACAAATAGAAATTGATTTCTAACACATCAGGTAGGCATCAGGTTGGAGAAAACTGCGCTATTCTGTTGTATTTGAGTGAGAAGCTCTGAAATAAATTCATGAAATTATTGTCTTCCTATCACTTCTCATGTTACTTGCTACCTCACTACCTTCGTTGTCGTGAGGTTTTTGCTTATTTTTCTTCCTCTTATAATACCGAGAGAGAATAAATCTCTTCATCAATCTCAGTAATAAGGTAAGACCTGATCCCTTGCCCTCCATTTGCTTTTACAGCATGGTATAATAATGAATGGGGGATACATTTTAATTAACATAATAAATATTTCAGGCAAAGCAGAATTTAAAAAATGATCTGTTGACCCTTTGGCTAGTCCATTTCTAGATTCAAGTCAACTGCTTCAAAACTTTGATATGGAGCTAATTATTTATTTATGCAATTTATCAACCACCTCAAACACCATAGGTGTTTACGTTATTAGGATGCAAAACTATAGAGATATGTACTTTTTACCTGAGGGATGTATGAGAGAGAAATTGATTTTTTAAAAGCCACTTATTCATGTCTTGCCTACCATTTGTGCTTCCTTTTCTAAAATTGGGTAATTTTATTTCCATGTTTGCTTCAGTGTTTGTAATTTCTTCACAGATGTTGGCATTAGTATTTTGAAGTCCTTAGTTCTTTGGTCTTTTTTTCTGAAAAAAAAATCTGTTCACCTGTTATTATCTTAAGAATTAATTATTGCAGAAAGGTAGTCTTCTTTTTGGAGGTGACTATTCAGTATCCTTTATGAGTCTAGAAGTTCTGTAGGTCTTTTTATACTTAGTTTTCTATCTTTGGAAGTTTTTGTCTCCTTCCATTTATTCTGAAAATTATGTTTATTCAGATTAAATTGTGCTTAAGTGAAAGCATTAAGAATTGCAATCCACCTGAACCCAAATGTTTCACTATAGGCTAGTTTTGTCTTTGTTCCATATGAAGAAATCCTAGTAACTATAAAATCCATTTAACTTTTAATTGATCACAGGTATTATGTGTTTTGTCTTTATTTTTAGAGTAACTGGTTAACCTTATGTGAATAACGTTTTTGTAAGTCAGTAAAATTGTGCTGGTTTTTTTTGTATGAAATTAGTTTTTGGGAACATAAGGTACAGTTATACAGTTCTTGATTTGCAATTTACAGTATTGAAGATTTATGGGAGAAATGTTCAGATGAATGCAAAAGCATCTGGGGAAAGGGCATTTCTAAAAGGGCATTCAGAAAAGATACAAAGAATGAATTTTATTTCCGAACATACATTATACTATTAGATTATAGCAAGCACACAAGAAATATGTCATTTCCCTCTCTTTTTGCCCCCAGATTGATCAGGCTTTCAAAGGTATGTTTCCTGTGGATACCAGTCTAGTTCGCGCATGTCCAATTTGTGGCCCATATCACTGTGGGGGGACTGTGGCCCACAGTCACTCAGTGTTAATCAATCAACAAAGCATTAAAACTGCAGTTTCTGAACATGGGAACTGAACATGTGCATTTGTTCCTTTGCTATTTTAATAGCTTGGGAGTTTTACATTTTATGTGCTTGGATGTCCTACAAATCCAACCCAGAATGTACAGATTAATTTGAACCAAACTCAATTTTTTTTTATTTTTTCATCAATTCATCACATTTCTACACTACTCATATTACCTAAGTGACTCTAACTGCTTACAGTGAAATTAATTATGTTGACACAGAGTGATCAGTTGAATGATTCCTTCTTGTGATAGCTTTGTTTGTTTTTCAATGTAAAACAAATTACTAAGCTGCTAATTAAAGAAAAGAAACTATGGGGAGAAATGCTGTTTAAACCCTTTCCATTTCTTTGATTTGTTTGTTCCTGAAGCAGCTTTCTCTCTTTCTCGTTATCTTTCCAAATGGTTTATCTTTCCTTTGTAAGGAAATATGTAATTGGGTGCCAATTCTGCCCTTTTGTACTAAGTTATTGGACCATCGGAGATATCCTTCAGAAATCTGAGACTCTTATTTTATTAGAGCAAGGTATAAAGTCATCACTATTGCTATTCAGATTTTAAAAGAAGAGTACAGAACAATGAAGCATTTATAAAATCAAAGTATAATAAGTTTAAAGAAAAAAATTAAGCACCCTCACAAAATAAGTATCAACTTAAAGGAGAAATACTCTGATGTTTTTCTGGAATTTATTGCAAATAAAGTTGAATAAAGTCTGCTCTTAAATGTATTTGTTTTGTCCTGGATGTCTTTCACATCATATTCAGAAGATGACAGTGTCACAGATTCTGTAAAATTACTTGTCAAAATGAGATGTCATTGATATCTTAAAAGGGGAAAAAATGTTGCATGCAT